GGTGTGGAGGGGGGGGGGGGGGGGGGGGGGGGTCCAGTGGGTTGAGCAGAAGGTGGGTGGGTGGGGGACTGGGAATCAGGACTCTTGGGTCTTATACCTTGGGTGAGGCACATCCCTCTGTGACTCGGTTTCCCCATCTGCACCATAATGGGGAGAGCTGCCAGGTGGGGAGCTGTGAGGGTGGGCCCCAAGTCTCTGAGCTGGGGGGCAGGGCGGGGCTCGGGTCACTGCAGGGGGGCGCTTTCACTGCAGCTTTGGCCCTTGGGCCCTGCAGGGGGTGAAGTGGACCCCGCATGGCTGGGCAAGGAAATGAACAACCCCGAATCGGTCTATTACTGGGCACAGAAGGTCAGTGGTGGTGTGGGGGGGGCGCTTCTGTTCATTCCCCCCAGGGGCAGGGCTAACCATGCCCAGGGTACGGCCTGGCTTAGCTGAACCCCCCCCTGCCCCCCCCTCTAGAAGAGCCTGGCTGATGGGCTGCTTGGAGCGCTGCCCCTTTAAGAGCAGGCTAGATACTGGCACAGAAATGGACCAAGACTTCCTGGGTCCCACCTGGTGGGGGGTGAGGATCAGCAGCCTGTTCCCTGGTCTCGTGCCCTTCTGCTTGGGGTGTGGGGCATCCACATCAGGGGGCAGCAAATCTCTCACCCCCTGGCTCCAGCTGCCCCCCTGACATGAGACAGTTTCCCAGTGGGGCGAGTGGTGGGCCAGACTGGGAGCGCTGGGGTCTAGTCCCAGCTCCGCCACTGGTCTGGTGGGAGGCCTCGGGCATGTCCCTTCCCCCTCTTTGTGCCTGTTTCCCTTCCTACCTGCTGTCTCTTCAGGCTGAGCTCTCTGGGGGAGGGCCCATCCCTTGGCATGTGCCTGATTGCTCAGGAAAAGGGTGTGTGTGTGTGGGGGGGGGATGCAGCTCTCGGCATGATGGGGTTCCCGCGCTCACTTGCAGGGGTCTGGACTGGACCATAAAATAGTGGCCCTGCTCCCCTACAAATGCTACTTTGATTTGAGGGAGTCTTCCCCCCATCAATTGCTGAAGGGGGGGATAATCCAGGCTCCCCCTCCCATCCCCTCTGTCCTGCCCCCACTCCCCATCTCATCCATGTGCCCCTTTGCAGAACAACATCCCGGTGCTAAGCCCGGCCCTGACAGACGGTTCCCTGGGGGACATGATCTTCTTCCACTCCTACAAGAACCCCGGCTTGGTGCTGGACATCGTGGAAGGTGATTTATCCCCCCTCCTGGGCACGGTGCTTTCTCCGCCCTTCCTGATCGCTCAGCACCTCCCTCCCAGCCCCTGGCTTAGAGCAGGCCGGAATCGTGGGCCACCCCCTATGGTGCTGGGGTGGAAGTGAGGGGATCCCCTTCATCTTGAGCTCCTGGGCACCCTCGCTCCAGTACGGCAGAGCCTACGGATCATCCCCCTGCTGAGCCCCAGACAGAGTCGGGGCCTCCCGGGTCCTACCCCTGCTCCGGGATCGGGGGGCAGGGCAGGATTCCTGGGTTCTGTCCCTGGTGGCAGGAAGAAAGGGGTCACTGTGATATCTCTCTCTCTCTCTGGCAGATCTCCGGCTGATCAATACCCAGGCCATCTTTGCCAAGAAGACGGGCATGATCATCCTGGGAGGGGGGCTGGTCAAACACCACATCGCCAACGCCAACCTGATGGTGAGCCCCCCCCC